GCCGCTGGTGAGCCTCTCGCTGGGGTGCTCGGCGATCTTTCTGATGGGGACGCAATCCCGCGACGACGCCCCGCACGCGTTTTTGCTCCGCAGCGGCGATGTCGTGATGTTCGCGGGGCCGGCGCGCTTGGCCTACCACGCCGTCCCCCGCATCTTCGACGACTGCCCCGATTATCTGACGGTGCCCGAGGCCGAGCTGACGGACGAGGAGCGCCGCCGCTACGCGCACCACGTCTACTACCACCACCCCATGCCGGACGGCAGCTTCGTCAAAGTCGACAAGGACGCCATGACGGAGGACGAGCGGGAGCGCTATTGGAGGCTGTGCATGCGGCATATGCGGATTAATATCAACGTACGGCAGGTCTATCCGGAGAACTGCGACTTTATATACGATTCAGATTAAAAAAATAAAATAAAAAATAAGCGAGGATGGCACAATTGCATCAGGGGTGGTTGTTTTGTGTGGAGGGAGGGAGAGAAGGTTGCATATCGTTGTATATATATTTTTTTGCTTATTTATTTCTGAGGAAATAGAGAACAGGCGAAGAAATATATAGCACAGGTTCATGTCTGGGTAATGATTTCTTTTGTTGGTTGTGGTTACAAAGTCCGCTTGAGGTGTTTTCTTCTTTTAACAAAAAGGTAAAAACGGAAAAATTAATATTAATATAGATATTAATATCGATATTCATGTGTGACCTTTTTTTTTTTTGAAGTGAGGAGAGGGGGAGGGGAAGGAGAGAAGCTACACATCGGGCTCACATAATATTGAATAACATATCTAAAGGGGGCATATTCATTTATAAAGATTTAAACTAGGACGAACCAACGGTCTTTTTCTAAATGACCAAAAACATCTTTTTTCTTCCCAAAATTCATTTTGATATATATTGGTTTGTTCCAAAAAGTCTGAGCTTTGACGCCAATATATTGATTTTATCTTTGTTTTTATTTTTTTTCCCATATTACTTCGTATGCAATGATCTATTTGTTAGTCATAATATTATTTGCCTATGACTTCATAGGCTACATAAATCCATGCTTTTGCCCCTTCTTCAAAGTAAACGCACTCTCAAATTTCAGATTTCATCACACCCACACATAGAACTCCCTCCTCACCCTTATGCATGCAATAAACGGGGGGTGTTCTGTACGAGGTAATTACTACATGGTCTATTCTTACCTTCAACCGTTTCATTGCTGTAGTTTATTTTGCTGCCGTAGGTAACCATTATCTTCCCCTCCTTTTTTTCTGAGAATTTCATCAACTCCTCGGTCTACCTTGAGACTTTAATGCGTCATGACTATAATCCCCCTTCTTCCTCCCCCTCTTCTTTGAACAACCGCTTCAGGTTCAATAAAGATTTTAATTACTCACTCAAAGCATCATCTGATGCTCCCCTATGGCGTTCAATCTCTTGATTGGTCGCATTGGCGAAACTTTCTACCATCCCGAAGTGTGTTCGTTCAAGCGGCGCAGTAGATCATCAGCACGGCGTGGTTTTGAATCGTGATGATTATCACACACAGTAGTTTATATCTCATTGACAATGTTGGGATTTAGGCCTTCATCAAAATCTTCGGCATTTTTTTTTCTTGGAGGAAATGATGTGGAATATCGACCTAAAGGTGATCGCCCAAATAACAAAGCGTCTACGCACGCTTATCATAGCGATATATCATTTACCTATTTACGAACTTCTTCAGAGAATCATTCTCGTTCTTGTTTATTATTTCTCCATGATCACCTCTCATTATATTTTGAGTATGTGGAAAAAAAATATATACATCTACATGTATATAGCGCTAGTGTTATTGCGCAATGTTTTGTTATTTTATCTTGCCTTGTGCTGTATTGCAATGAAGAATAGATCCAGAACCTACAACATTTTCTTCTTAATTGCCATTTAATTTGAATTCATCCTTTCCTAAAAGGGTACATGTGACCAACCCGAACTCGGAGGCTTTTAATAAACGATAGGTACGATCGACCCCACGGTCAGTATATTTTATTCTCATTGTAGGACTCCCCATTCCGCGCTATTCGTTATGAACGGTGCTACGAAAGGGCCGACCTCTCTGCTCCATCTTATCTCGCAAGCGGTTTTACTACCGCACACGTCCTCCTTGACGCGTCCTTTTGGGTATGATGAGCAGCACTGCAAGCTTCGCTCGCGAGGGTCGTCGACGGAGTCGAGGTCGATCTTCGCCGAGGTCCCCTTTGACGTCTTCGAGGCCAACAACAAGCAGGCGTGGATTGACCTCAAGACGGGGTACTGCCACCTCTGCCAGGAGCCGCTCGGGAACTCCGCCGGGCTCCACGTCGGGGACCGCGACCACACGAACATGCACTACTTCCTCTACCTCTTCGCGCGCTACCCCCGCGGCGACCCCAGCGCGAGCTACCCCGCCTTTGCCGGGCTGGGCGGGCCCCGGGCCGGGAAGGCGTGGGCCGCGGCGAAGGGGAGGCCGCCGCTGCCGCTGCCCTGGCACAACGAGGCGGTGGGGCCGCGGTGGGAG